GCTGTGATATATGCATTAACTGCATGCGATAGATAACGGCAGCATTTTGATAGCCTGAGCAAGGCTGGAATGGCCAAGTTATCCAGAATAAGCTTCTGGATGTCTAGCGGTATATGCAGGAGAATGTTTGTTGGATACTCGAAGGTGGCATTCTCTGGAACTATGGTTGCTCAAAACGATAACAAATGAAGATGACAAAGTAGCGACATACTAGTTTTCAAACGATAAAGGTCTGCCAACTCACAGATGTGAGATTGGATCGTCTTGAACTGCTCAGGGTTCGTCTGACCAAACTGTACCAGTTGCTCTGATGTCATTTGCCAGAGAAACGATGGTGGATTAGATAAAGTTGCTTGAGCTGAGGAAACCGACTCTCGGCCCTTTGCAACTGAATCACTGAAAAATGTACGAAGAGCAGGTCCATCTACGAACAAGGGCATGGATGCTAATAACAAGAAATCAACATATAAAGGTCAACGAATTGGAAATCAACACACATAATTCAGTTGGTGAGCCGGGATCTGACATAGAAGGTGAGGAAATTGTTACGAGTCCTCTGAGTTTACGAAGAGACTCGTTTATTACCTGGGATCTCGAGACTTTTTTCAGCGCGGTAACACTGAAATTTGACTTTCTCCCACGAAAATGATTTCTTCCCACAGTTGAACGCCTCATCCTCCTCATTGTATTTTCTAGTCAAATCTACCAAATCATTGCTTAACACTTGCTTTTAGCACCCTAAGCATATGAATAGTGATGCCTCTGCTCTCTCTTTACTCAAATTATTTGCTAGCCCTGTTCTTGCAAGCTTCCTCAACATTTCCACAGTATTATCAACCCCATTCAATTATATTTCTTTATATTCAATGTATAACAATCAACCAAGGCCTCAACCTTTTCATAAACAGTTTTGTTGATCATATTCAGGGAGTTTGGGAGTATCCGAAGAAGCCCACATGCATGCCAAACAGATGAGATTAAGGTGCTGAGCGATTGTGAGCATAAATTCAAAAAGGCAAATATACAATTTGACTTACCTCCATGAGGCCTCAACCATTTCACAGACGGTTTGGTGGACCGTTTTCAGGGAGTCTGGGGGTATCCAAACGAGCCCATGTGCATGCCAAATGGACCAGATTAAGGTACTGGAGCTTGTGAGCATATGTGCAAAAAAGCGAATATACAAAGTGACTTACCTCCACAAGGCCTTAACCATTTTGAAAGCGGTTTTGTGGACCATTTTCATGGAGTTTGGGGGTATCCGAACGAGCCCACGCGCACGCCAAACGGACCAGAATGAGGCACTGAGAGCTTGTGAGGATATGTGCAAAAAAGCGAAT